AGATAAGCCCGAATAAGCAATATGGATCAACTTCCGTAGCCATCTGGTTAAAGTAACAGGTGATAAATCCCTGGACACTGCAGGATCCCAATGAATAAAAAGTCTGTTCCTAGAGTCTCGAAATGGTTCTGTACGACCCACATAACATCTGAGCACCCTGATGGGACATAACAACATCGGGGTCTGATCTACTATAAAGATGATAAATGCCAGATAAATGAATAGGATAAAAAAAAATTGTTTCCTTCTCTGGCAGAGTTTTTGGAATAAATAATTGGTCGGGATAGAGCATAACATAGATAGAATGATAGATTCCGCTGAACCTGAATGGCAATTAAATCAGAATGACGCTGTCCAGAAGCTAACAGCAATAAAAAATAAACTGTGAGGGAAAGGTGATATAATGAACAGGAGGCCATGGGTTCGAAAGGATGACATGATAAAGCATGTAAAACAACCCTAAAGTCCCAAATGACAGCATAAACAGGTAATATATGTGTGATTTTAAATAGCAATATTAACAGAAATGACAGCATGAACAGGTAATATATGTGTAATTTTAAATAGCAATATTAACAGAAATGACAGCATGAACAGGTAATATATGCGTGTGATTTTACATACTTTAACTTTATCTCTACTAAGTGTGTTTTTAATACACTTTGTATAAATATCGTTACTACATTCCCTTCATCAATCTGACGATGCTTCTGAAGTAGACAAAACTAGTCATTAAATTTGAATATGTTCTTTTGTATGTGCGATTAATTAATGACTTAATCACAGACAGTGTAATCCTGTTTCATTACACATAGATGATCAGAGAATGGGCACTAAGTAGTCATAATACTGACTGACCGATAAGAATATATGGTCATACAACATACATTATACTTTTCTCACTCATTTGAAAAGCATTATAGATCACTTCAAGATGATTACTAAACAGCATTATTAGGGAAAGAGACTCAGTTAAAGTGATTCTGGTTCCTCCACAATAAAGAAAATATACCAGAAAAGGCATATAAAAAACAAAGGAACCAATAAGGTGATCGATTTACCATGTACCTACTGAAAACACTGGATAAGTTAAGACAAAGAAGCAATAGTTTGATTGGTGGATACCACCCTCCTCCACAATAAACTCCAATTAGCTTATTACCATATCCTGTAATGAAATCCATAGCTATGATAATTGAAAAACTTTTCATCCTTAATTTCTGATATCATGTCAACAAAACAAAGAGTCACTTGTCAGCCTAAATATGGATTCCAAGAGTACCATTCCATCTTCCAAACTACCAATAACTATTTATTCTTATGTACTTCAAATTTTAAGAAACTGGGATGATATTTGCAAAGAAACTATAATTACACATAACACATATCAGAAAATGGGATTCAAGCCAGCTGCCGGGGATTTTATTCACTATTCCATAACCTGGGTTAAGATCTATTTATCTTCTCTTTAGAAAAGAATGATAAGACTCAATCGTATTCAAATTTACAAAATTATCTTCATCAGGTCGTTTTAAAATGAAGGCCTGCCAGTGGTCAATAAAAAAAAAATATGAGTAAAAAACAATAACAACATTGAAAGATACTTGTGTCTGCTGTCCCATAAACATTTAGAAACGATTGTCATGTTATTCAATTAAATGTTCTGTTAATATTATTGAAGTATTCTTCCTATGGTGAAATTTTTTGACAGACTTACAAATGCATAGAATATTATTGGCCTAACTTTTTTACAATCTAACCCCCCTTAAAAAAGAAAAGAACTTTGATCCATTTGATAACTAGGATAAAAACCCTTTGAATTATTTGTGCTATATTCTGAATATGATACAAATAGCTAGTACATAAGGAAAAGTTTCAGATTTACAAGACTAGTATTAGGCTTAACTTTTCTAACAGGGTGATTGACTAACTAATGGAAAGTTACTGTCACTGCAGTAGTGGAGGCCTATAACATTAACAGTAATTTAACTCCTTTTAAAGTTTAATAAGGTAATTATGATTTCGTGAAAATAAAGGGCTGGTTTCAATGTTTACTTTTCCCTAGGGTAAATGTGCAAGACAACCTTTAATAAGTTAAAGTACCAAATGGTCCCGTGTTACGTTGCAACTTAAGTCTGAACTAAAGTTAAACATAGAGTGTGCTATTTACCAACATTACTCCCGAATTTTGGAATATTAATATTCTTAGTCTTAAGTTCTAGTTTTTATAAATTGCAATCAGTAAATACAACATGATTTGGTTTATCTACAGTATATACAGGTTGGTTTTCCTTAATTAATTTATTAATCCCACCTGAGGCTCCGCAGTCCACACAAGTATTGTTTCCTGGCCGTTTCAACAACTCAAACAATCTTTTCCTGTTCACGTCGGCCATCTTTGGCTTTGAGTCCTTTGACACTATTTTCGTTTTCGGAATCACAAAGAAAAGTTGTTTACGATTATTCACTACACCAGAGGGCAACAGTCCCATCGTTTCTGATTTGCTGATGAAGCACGGGTAACAACAACATAATGTTTGCATTATTGTTTTCTTTTTAGATGGCATCAGTACTTCAATTTGTGGATAATGTAAAAGACGAAAATAAAAATAATGTTATTATAACAGAATAATAAACTTACTCTTCTAAATGATCACTAAAACAAGATTTTCGATAGCTTATTATATCAAACAGGTGATGTTTAAGATTTTGCTCGTGAATTTCTAAGACAAAAGTCCAACACAAAAAGTATACACATTTCCCATACATATGTAAGTAAAATAGGAAGGAAATCCCATGTGGGAGCAGTCTCTTCCTTTTGATTTATTCTTTTTTTCTAGATCATTATATTTTCAGTTGTTCTGACACATATTCATCAGAGTTGTTATACGCATTTTGAGATTAGAAATCTACGCATTTTCACATTAATAAAAACCAAACCGCACTTTGTACCAGAACTAAACTATATTTCAATTATAATTTATGTTTAAGAAATATATTAGATAAACTTCACCTACACACTAAATTTTTACATAAGCTTGGTATTTAAGCTTATGTATTCGTCTTAGTGATTTGGCCACTGATTGATACAACCCATAATCCTCTGATACTGTGTTATTATCTTACAAATAGTTTGGTTTTGTCTGTCTTAATTATTTGTCCAAAGCTACACAAAGACTATCTGTGCTAACCGTTTTTAATTTTGAACTAACAGTATAGAAGAAAGGCAGCTAGTGATTTAGCCCATCGCCTTATCTTGGGTTACTCTAATAGAATGGTGTTAGGTCATGACGAAGGTGATCCCAGCCAAAATTATCTTACAGATATCACGTTAAGTCATGACGAAGGTGATCCCAGCCAAGATCATCCTACATATATCATGTTAGGTCTTGACGAAGGTAATCCCAGCCAAGTTCACCATTCACATATCTAGACCATGTCGAAGGTATCTGGTTGTATTTGAGGAGTGTACTAATTATATTGAATAAAAAACATAATTCGACCTGTATTTCAAGGAAGAGCTAGATGGTTAAATTTATTAGATTTTGTTGGTACCCCACTCTGGTGGAGAAAGGTGAATTTATTCAAAAATTATCAAACGTTCTGTTGCCTATATCTGACGGATTCAAATGTGCAAAGAAATCTGCTTTCTACTTCTTTATGCTGTTTTAGTTATTCCGAATAAAAAGAAAATCACAAATTATTTTGTTTGTTTCTGTTTTATTAATTCACAACCAATATGTCACCCTTTGTTCTACAAAAATGACGAAGCAATAAAAGGAAAATTCCCATGAAAAAGAGTTGAAACAAAATCATTAACACACAAATTAATTAAATGGATAAGAAGGATAAGGACACTAATAATACACCCGTTAACTATAATACTCAGAACGTACAAAACACTTGGGAGACCAATCGCAGTTTAATAAAAATTTTCTCATAATCAATAAAAAAATTTCACAACCACCTATTTGCCTTGAAAATACGAAATTATTAAAACATAAGTAGACATAATTTATAGGAAAGGATATATATATGTGTGTGTCTAACATTAATAACTATCAACAAACCTTGAAGAGTATGTTAAACAAAAGACTACAACTATAAATGGAAAAGTGAGTGAGAAAATTAGAGCATTAACTGTACTGTTAAGACAGCGGAATGCTGGATGCTGGGAGCATGCGCGATGGAGTTTCTCGAAGGATCATGAATTTGCGCGGTAACTCTAGTCCGATTGAGATGCCCTCTTTTTTAATATATAAGCCTGGCGAGAAAAACTGGCGTGTGGGCAGATAGATAATTGTAAAGTGTGTGAATCACTGTGATTTATAGCATGTGTTATAAAAGTTGTTAAGTTTAGAGTGACGAGGTATGTACTCACTGTAAAGTTACTGTGTATTAAAAGTTTGTATCGAGGAAGAATAAACTTGGTTAACCAAGAAAGGACTTGTATCGCTGAAGTTTCTCGGAAACAATTTATACGGGAAATTAACAAACAAGCAGATACGTGACAGTACTTTATCATGTCAAGTTTACTACATTAAACTCACAAGTTTTATGTTTATACTTTTGCATAATCTAAATAATTAAACACAATGAAGACTTTGCTTTGAAATCTTTTAAAGTATTTTATTGAAGCTATTAGTGTAAGAAAACATTTTTTGTACATGCCACATAACATTTTAATTAAAATTTTCGCTAAAGAAAACTTAAGTTACTCACTTTGAATAACCAAAAGTTTGGGATGATATAAATGTAATTCTCTGGTCTTTTAACCATATTAACATAAGTATATATATTGTTACTTTGGTACTTTACATAAAGTAGAAAGATACATTATGTAACTTTGTAGAATGGACGGCTACTGCCTGTTGTACAGACACAAGTGAAGACAAAAGGCTGAAGACTTTCGAAACGTCTTCCTCTACATTTGTGTCTCTATAATAGGCAGTTGCTGTCCATTCTACAAAGTTTCATCATGAATACTCTGCCTAAACAATCTATCAAAGAATAGAAAGATACATTAGCTTAATTCATTTTAAATGTTTTAGGCATAACATATTGTTTATGAATATTCTTACAGTAAATATGACAATTGTTTATACGATTATTCTGGATTTGTCGTTTACATTTATGTCTATATTTATAATTATTTTTATTGTTATTTTTACATATTTCTTATTACGTTTGATGTCTCTTATCTTACCTACATAATGGTAGATAATGTTTTGTCAGTATAAATATGTGAACTTAAATATTAATACATTAAAACTCTCAAATTTCGTGGTTTACAAAATGTTTCTGTGTGAGTGTCGAAAATGCTTTCAATAGGAAATTAACATATAGAAACAGTGAAATAGTTGGTTAGTTGTTGGTTTTTTGGAAAAAAACAGATGGTTTTAAAATAAGACCAGCGTTAGACTATTGACGTCTGAGTAACTAAGTTAATCTTCACCAAATTGAATTATCTGAACACAATTTTATTTCAACTTTCTCTCCTTCGGTAATGGCCTCCCAGTGGCACAGCGGCATGTCTGTGGACTAACAATGCTAGAAACCGGGTTTCGAAACTCATGGTAGGCAGAGCACAGATAGCCCATTGTGTAGCTTTGTGCATAATTATAAACAAACGAACCTTCAGTAACGTGAATAGAAAATTAATTAACTTATTCTCTTTCATCATGCAAATTACAATGAAGAATGAATTGACGACTTTTTTTTATACCTTCGATTTGTCTTATTTTGGCAATACAAACAATGCTTGAAATAGTTTTATACTAATCAAAATGTTAATGATTTCTCTGGTCCAATGGTTTTTATACCAATCAAAATGTTAATGATTTCTCTGGTCCAATGGTTTTTATACCAATCAAAATGTTAATGATTTCCCTGGTCCAATGGTTTTTATACCAATCAAAATGTTAATGATTTCCCTGGTCCAATGGTTTTATACCAATCAAAATGTTAATGAATTCTCTGGTCCAATGGTTTTATAACAATAAAAATGTTAATGAATTCTCTGGTCCAATGGTTTTATAACAATAAAAATGTTAATGAA